GCTTTTCTTGTTTTAGACTGCTCGGCCGCATTTAATTGCACATCCTGCATAGTTTTCTAGTCGTGTTTTTTGAGCTGAACACTTTTCATATGTGGACCCTGCTTTATCCTAATGAACGTGTGCAATTCGCCATTTCTTTGAGTTAATGAAGTCCAACATGCCTAGTACTACTGACGCGTAATCCAATCGACTCTGTCTCTCTCTCTCTCTCTCTCTCTCTCTCTCTCTCTCTCTCTCTCTCTCTCTCCCTTTGTGTCTGTTGGTCTGAAACTTCAAAGTGTGCAAATTGAATGTTGGTTTTGGGCATACAAATTCTCTTTGTTGATTAGGAGAATGTCTGAGAGACTTGCCATTCTGTAAAATAGTCGGACAAATAGTAAGTCTTGCACTGTGTAATTGTGTTTAAAAATCGCTTTAAGACTGGCTTACAAATATTGTAATCCCCATTGAAAATACCTTCAAATTGTCTCTTGAGAACGGCCTGAAATGAAAATTATGAAAAATTCCAAAAATAAATGTTTGCTTCTTTCCTTAGATTAGTTGGTACTTCAAGGCGTTAGTTTGCAATCTTTCCGTCAAATATATCTTTTCCAAACTTTTCAAATTAAGCAGCATATTTAATTTGAAAACAGCTTGCTGAGTGCAGCATTGCAGCATTATTTCCCCAAACTTTCAACTCACAAATATTTGTGCAAACAAAACAACTGTCCGCAACTACTACTACTGCTAATTAAGCAACATTTTAATGGGTCCCACTTGGTGTTTCGCCCACATTCACCACCCACAACACCCACGGCACAACAATGGATGTCTTTTGGGACTGGCCAGAACCAAACTTTGCCTTTGCCGCCTGCATGTATTTTGTGGCATTGGATCTGGTAGTAAATTATTATTATTATTATTATTATTTTCGGGGATGTGGCGTAGAAGTCGGCTACAGCTGCATTTTCTGGCTCGTTGGTCGATGTGGTCATCCAGTGTCGAAACTAAATACTAAGCAGGTTTAATAAAGCCCCAAAGGCTTAGGAGTTTGCAAATCAAGTTGTTGGCAAATGGGTTTTGAGGCTTTGATGCGCTTGCTCCCTAAAATTAGGCAACAGCAAATAATTATTTAGACGAGTTTGAATGTTGGCCCCAAAAAGCTTTAGCTATTGGCCAGACCGAGCATAATTGTCTGTGGCTTTGCTCGGCAAATTTTGTCATTGGTTTCTGTGCGGTTCCAAAACTGTTGGCACTTTATATTCATCGCCTCGAGCCTTGATGTGCTTTAATTAAATACAAATATTTATTTAAATATTTGTTGATGTCTTTGACAAGAAATATTTATGAAAATGCTTTAGCAAAGAAAATGTTAGTTTTGGAATGTTGAATATTAAACAATATGAATTACTTGAGTGAGATCTTGCTTTGGCTTTATAAGCGATTTTAATGTAATTAATCTTGTAATATTTTAAATAGCAACATATTATAAAATTCTCTTACTCAAGGGAAACGCGTATGCCACAACTTCCAATGAGAAAAAAAAAAAAACAATAACTTTTTTGGCCCATAAAAGGCAAGCTTAAACTTTAGCTCATTTCAAGCAAATATGTTGTTTTTATTTTATTTAAGCTGAGCTTGTTTTCATCGACGTTACCTGTACCACATTTCATGCCCAGCCTACCCGAACAAGTAACAATAATGCAAACAAAATAATAATAATGCTTTAGCAAAAGTTTAAGCAAATAAAAAGAAACAAAAACAAAAAAATGTATAAATGTACATAGGCTTAAGGTAAGTAACTTTTTGTAGAAGGGCGGTTTCAATTTAATGCTTCGTTACCTTTTTGCAGCAAATTTTGAAACATTTTCAAGTGGCCAAAGCACTTGGGGCACAAGTTTACAGTATGTTATTCAAAATATATTGAGTTACACCCCGGCCAAAAAAAAAAAAGAAGAAAACTTGTGCCCCAAAGCAAGCCATAAAACAATAACTGCAAGATTTATTGCATGGCTAGCTATTTCTTCTTTATATATGGGCTTTTTGTTATTTTTAAATAATATGAGCTCAGGATTTTTAAGAGCATACAAATTTTGATATAACACAAATGATTTAAAAAAAAAAAACCAATTTAAGCGCAAACTTTGCCAGTGTTTTTTATTTTATTCATTTAGAGCAGACTAGGGGAGCCAGGAAAAGAAAAGTGATAATGGGAAAAAACGGCAAAATAAGTATTAACTGCTTGCTTGCTCCCAAGCCCAGTGAGGCCTGCGGCTAAACGGGAAGCAAGAAGGACGCATAATGAAGGAATTTCGAAATTTGTGAAAAAAAGGCGATGCAGAATTATAAATAGGAATTATATCAAGGAACGAAGTGATGACGGAAGATATGGTAAACAAAAAATAGTTATTTAAAATTTAAGTTGAATCTTCAAGCATATCTAAGAGTTTCATAACTCAAGCCAATATCTGGTCTTGAAACTTTGCAAATATTCCACAAACAAATACTTGAACACACATGCACGTACATGCTCGCTTTAAAGTCCCCTTTTCCACTTGTTCAGCTGTTTGTTGTGCAGCTTGACATATCTTTAAGGCAAACAGAAATTTAACAATGGCTTTAAATGAATTTGCATGCATAATTAGCTGGAATTTGATACTCGTCTTATCCTCTAAACAGACAGCACTACCCATCTTAACATACATATTTATATATATATATATATATACATATACATATACATATACATATACATATACATAGACTTCGCAGTTATGACGCATATGTGACATTAATGCAAACATCGGCCCAAATTGCCACCACGAAGTGTTGCCCGCTCAAAATGAAATTAAGGCGATTGGGCAATGTGAGCTTGGAATATAAATGGGTCTGTTGTGCAGCTGTGTTTATCTCAAGATAAACACTTCAAGTGACATTTTAAATGTCAACCAAAAGGATTTTACATCTTTTTGTTGTTTCTGTTATTTTTCTTCTGGGTTGGAGTTAAACAAAGTTTTCCGATTCGGTTTTAATTGCTTAAAGCACAAATTTGCTTTATTTCATTTAATTTAACGTTTCCCAGTTCTTTTTTTCTTTTTTTCTATTTACATTTTCATCACAATTTCCATTAGGCAATTTATTTGCACTATTTGCAAACAAATTCTTGATTTTTAAGTGCCTTACTTCGCTTGAATTGTTTTTAATTTATGCTGTACCTATTTATTCAGTTAAAAAGTGAATAACCTTTAAAGCAGTGGTTCCAGACTGCTTTGTTTTTTGCTTGAGGTGCAGGCTTTTGAATTTATATTTATGATTTGCGCTGCTTTAAATTGAGCTCATTTTGGCCAATGGCCAATTAGTGTTTTTCTTTAGCAGAAGGTCGAAAGCTTCGCCGCTATCCGCTTACCTATCTCAACTGCTTTCTCTTCTTTCTTTCTTCGTTTCCCTCTATTACGAAAACTTAAAAAAAGAAGCCCTTTGACACACTGTTGAATTAATTCAGGTGAATTTCATGCACTTGATTCATATTTTAAATTTTGGCTTGCATCTTGCCTGGCAAAGATATTAATCTGATTATGCAGAGAGCCCTAATGAACAGCTTGTGTCTGATTTGCTCTGATTAGGCTTCAAACTTGACCAACTTGACCAAGTTAACTGGGAACAAAGCGAGTCCTGCCTAAAGTGTATTACATGTTGTGTTGCTTTTGTTTTTCATAATTAATTGGGTCAAATTGATTTGCAGTTAATTAAAGTTTATCATAATTGACTATTCAATTATTTTAGACTTCAATTATTTATTTCGGTCGTCATTAATTGTAATTGTAAATTTACTGAAAATGCAGTCAAATGAAATAAACATTCATTTTGTTTAGCTTATAACAGCAATTTAGAAAGACGTTGAAATGTCACCGATTTTTAAGGCGCTTGTTCCATAATAATTTACGACTTAAATTTGCCCCAACGTCATAAAAACTTAAATTCTACATAAAATTTACATTGAATTATATATTTTTTGGCTATAAGCTCAAAAAAAAAAAAGATAAACGTTACCTGGCATAAAAAAACCTTGCCTCGCGGCAGACGCTATAAATAGCTTCGATTGCGGCAGCTAAAAAATTCTCTCCACTTTTCACATTAATGCTTGGGGTGTCAATAATGAAAAAAGAAGCGACACTTTTTATATCTCGTAACATTAGCGTTAGCTCATCAGCCCAGTGGGGCAGGAAGGGAAGGCGGGAGCACAGTGGATGATAAAAATCAACATCCTTTGCATTGTCATTGATGAATTTTAACTTTTGGCTTTCAAGGTTGTTTGTTTTTTGCGCTAGCAGATGGGAAAGATTTCTATTGTTAAGAAATGAATAAAATATGTAGGTGTCTGGTATATTTTATAAACAATGATAACAGCAATTTTTAAAGAAAAAAGCTTTGATATCATAACTATCGAAATTATGTTTATCATAATTTAACTAACTAACTTACTGTATTACCAATTAAGTTAAAATGTTAGCCAGGATATATCAAATTCGGCTTTTATTTTATGTTTTTTTATTTTTTGTGTGTCGCTTGTGGACATTTTTGTCCTTTGTCGTTTGGCGTTGTCTCCTTGTAATTTTTAATATGCTTGCCATTTGCCATAGATATGCGGGTATTGAGATACTTTTTGTAACTTTTGTGGGGGGACTTATTTTGGGCGTGGTGTACAATTTGGGGTCTGCCTGTTTTACGTTCCATTCAGCTGCCATTAGCCATGAAATGGCTGCCATTTCGGGAGTTGGCCATTTGTCTGTTCTCGGTGCAAAAAAGACAGTTTTGTAATTATGCTCTTAAAAAATGCATAAAAAACATTGTTTTCGCAGTGGGAATTGGCACGGTAAGCGGTGAGGGGAGGGTGTTGCGGGTATCTGACTTTAAAAATGTTTTTTATATGGTTAATTTCCTTATGCATTTTTAATATGATTCGCTAACTTTTTTAATGAAGTTTTCATTTTCTCGTCCTCTTTTTTCATGTATCCACGCAGCGTCAATTAATTGAAGTTGTCTTTTTTTAGGTAAGTACCGCAATTAATTTAATTGGCACAAGTTCGTCGAGGTTCATAAAATTAGCCAGATTTATTATTAAAATTCTGTCCTTTGTTATCTGTTTTGTTTTGTTTTTTTTTTGTTCGTTTTGGAATTTCAAACTAAGCTGCGTTTAGTTGTCATAGAAATTGTAAAAAGTTTTTTTTTGGTGTGCCATTAAGCGTAGCGACCTCAACGCAAGCCAACTCATTAATGTTGACCTTTCGCCACTTAACTTGCTCTTCTTTAGCCACAAAAAAAAAAGACTTGCTTGGCAAATTTCTTTGCCTTAACCGTAATTTTAATTGCACACGGAAAATTAAATGCCATAGAATAATGTATGCAACGGTTTCTCGCCTAATTGCAACCGCTTGGCACTAAATTTTTGTCTAACCCCGTGAAGCATGTCACGCCCATCCACCTAGCCTCCACCGCATTGCCCCTTTTCCACACTCAACTGCAGCTATTGCTTGAGTAGAAAACGCAGAGTCAAACGCAAGAACCGAGTGTAATTTACAATTTTTGTGCTGCGTTGGCACGAAATGTACTCCAATTTCGATTTTAATCGACTTTATCTTTTCCCATTTAATGTGGAACGTTTAGAATTGGGGCTTACAGATCTAGAAAAATTAAGATTAAACTCGCATCTGTCAACTGTTATGGTTTATTAATTAAAAACTTGCCGTGGATTTACAATTTTGTGCTGTAGAAATTATCAGATTATAAATTTAAATATGTGCTAATTGAAAGCAGATGGGTAGATTTTTATCATTAACTCAGTTAGGGTAATATGTATATATAACGGGTAGTTAAAGTGTGATTACAGTGATATCGGGTAGCAACGCTGGTTAACAGATCTAACAGCAGCATAATCATTAGTCGTATAAGAAGAGTCCTAGATGAACAGCAAAACGAGAGAGTCGAGTTCGTGAAGCGTCAAAGTCACGAGTCCCAAAAGTTGTAATGTTGTCGGTGCGTCGATGAAATAAGTCGTTGTGTTATGAAGTCGAACTCATATTTCACTATAATATACTTATAACTATTATATTACTAATAAACAGTACGTAATCAGTCCTATATATTTGATTTATTTTCTTGGTATGTGAATAGTTACAAAGTTTTTCCTTAGCAGCGCCGTCTAACTTTTGTATTTTGTTTCTACGCAAAGTTTTTTTTTTAAATCATTTTTCTTCTGGATATTTTTTGATTAGGCGCCGCAAATTATGCTAACAAATCTGTGAGCAAAGTTTTGATGCAGTTTGATTGGATTTTTGACGTTTCACGTTTTCAATCCGTGAAGGCTGTCGAATCGATTTCTATGCCTGTTGGCTTTTTATCGATAGCGTTGACTAACTTTTTGCTCACGCTTAATTAACGGCTCTAATAGCTGCCCATAGCTCCATTAAGCAAAAATACACACACACACACACACACGCAGGCAGTCCGCTAGAGAGAGAGAGAGAGAGTGAGGGAGACTTTAATCGTCTAACGCGCATATTGAGTTTCCCACTTTATTTACGTCCCTTGGCTTAGGCTAATTATGCAATTGGGTTGGTGGACTGGTGGGCGTGGCAGCTCGTTACGTAAAGCACTTGTTGCCACCACGTTGACCGTGTTGCAAGTGGCAACTTTGTCAGCGTTAATTTACATGCTTGTCCCTCAAGTTTTCCTACCTACTTCCAAAAGAGTTGTTTTCAACTTCTCTCAAACACTTTTGAACACAACACAAAACACACAAGGCAACTGCATGTGTGTGTGTGTGTGTGTGTATCGCATTCAAGGCGTTATTAATGCGCTTGTGTGTGTTTGTTAAAACTTCGTTGGAAATTGCTAGCTGCTGCAACGTTTTGGTGTTTGCCGATTCGATTAGAAGCTAAAGGTAAAAAATGTAGCTGAATGCACATGCTTGTTTGCGTGTGTGTGTGTGATGGGTGTGTGCGTGCTGCATACCATGCATAAATTACCATGAAACTGAAAGTACTTTCCTGCGATATATGAGAGCTAATCAATTTTGCATTTAAGCGCAATGAAATGCAAGGTAGAACTAGTTAACTTGATTAAATTAAGCTTGGAAAATTTTAATGGGCTTAATATTGGAAATAAAACGACGATTTGTCTAGAATTAATTTGGAATTAACTTGGAATAAAATTACATTTAAACAAGTACCTACATATATTTAGAGATTAAAATTATAAAATAATTTTCAATTTGTATCTAATTAGTCTCTGGAATTTGAGAACTCGTTGCAGAGTAACTATCACTTTCTTTATAAATGTATATTTTATTACTTACACGATCTGAAGTAATATCTGCTCAAATAATATCATTTATTTATATTATTTTTACTTACTTGTCAACATTTCGATAGCACTCGCAAATTTATTTATTTTACAAGTCTACTAATTCAATTGATTTACATGATGGATACACTGCTGTGCCACATCCAACAAAATCAGCAGGCATTACAAACATACATAAATGTTATGTAATATGTGTGTATGTATGTATATATGTCAGGAGACATTTCACACGTACGACAAACACCACCCTCTTAAATCGCAACCATTAGGAACAATTTTGACGCGACCACGCATAAATTGATGAGAGCCCTCGCTGTGGCGTGGATAGACTATGGGGGGCTTTTGAGGTGCTTGGGGGCTTACGGAGGGATGGGGGCAAACACGTTGTCCGGGTTGCAATATGAATGGATACGCATTTAAGCGGTGGTCGTATTACTGGGCACAGATGTTGTGCTTGGTCTCAAATGGCGACCAGCGGTCACCGCAGACAACCAACAATTGTCAATTAAATTGTTTCTGCTGCTCGACAGATGCGTCAGCTTCGCGTGGCTGCAGATTTCCCCTCTTCAGGCTCACACTTTAAGGGCGTTGCGTATCAATTTGCATAAAAAGGTTAAACCTCCCCCCTTTCACTCTCCCCAACACTGTTGTATGGTTGCTAGCCCCCCTCAACTCAAAACCGAACCAACTGTTGCTGGCAGCCAACCCTCAATTTATGATGCGGTTCAATTTCCATGCGTTGATTAAATTTTATAATTCTTACGCACAATTGAACGCGAGGGGTGAAAGGTAATTGAAAGTACGGCCCCCTTTTGTTTTGTTATTGGTTTATTGTTTTTGGGTTACCTTTTTCACAATCAATGTCTGAATGGCTTTTAAAACTTGCTACTAATTGTTACCAATCAAAGTTAAAATTTATTAGTCGTTAATTGACACAAACTAAAATTTATTTGGACTTAACTAGACTATTTGTGAGTGGCCTTTTTGTGGTCTACTTTTGGTCTACTATTTGCTTAAAGGTATAATTATATTATAATATTCATTAGCATTTAACTTAATCATAATTCAATTAAAATTAATTAACAATCTTTACATAATACGGTTTAATTTGCGTACATCAACAAATTATTTATTATGTGGCTTGTTTTGAATTCAACTAAATGTGTATTGGTTGTAAATTATTTGGCAATGAACACACTCATTTTTCTTTGAACGTTGAATAGTAGCAAATTTCAAGCCATGATTATAAAGCGCTGATTTTTGACAATAGTCTTAGTTTTGTCAAAGTTAGTTTTTGACCCGTTTTTAACAAGCAGTTTTTGAGGGAATAATTTAATTAATAAGAAAATTGAGCCAGAATCACCTTTTAAGTTTGAAAACAGCCAAATCATCATTTATAAGCCCTGGCTTTAAAAATCAGAACACTTTTGACAATTTTATGGCTGTGTAAAGCTCTGACCCGTCCCTACGCTCAGTTTGTGAGGTAATAATTTGGTCATATTAAACGAGCTAGTGCCGCGTTTCCAACTTGAAATGTAGTTTTAGTCTAAAACCATCAAATAAAAAAAAAGAAAGAAAATTACCTGAATCCATAAAATTCAGAGCACTCTACAAAAGTATGGCTGTGGAACATTTTGAACCGTCCCTACAAAAACTTTTGACAAAACTCTCATTGATAAAATATACTAAAACTTTGTCCCAATGCAAATCAGGGTCGACTTTATAATTAATCAGAAATAATGCCGTGTGCTTTTAAAATATGCTCAGTTGAATATTTAAAATTTTTATTTGCTTAATAAAAGTGCGTATGCACATATTTTCTCACATCTATAAGTATGTAGGTGTGTGTGCGTGTGTGTGTGTGTATGTGTGTATGTGTGTGATGATGATGATTTTGTGAATTTACTCAAGCGCTCATCCAATTGCAGAAGCATTCGGGAAAAAGGTCGAGCTGTGTTGAGTAACCTTTCAAACATTTAATTTCCTTTTTGCATTACGCTTTTGGACTTTGACGCTTCGAAAATTTAATTTCGTAATTGAATGATCAGATGCACGTACCCCACTTTGTGCTCTGCAGCCCCACCGGCACCACCTCGTGCCCCAATACCCCTGTAGTAACCCACATGTGCCATTCGTAGTGCCACTTGACTTGGCTCTTGTGTAACAACCAGCAATTTAATTGAAAATTTATCAGTTTCACATATCATTTGCATATACACTGCCTTCCTCCCAGCTCCCTTTTTCAGCCAAACACAAAGGTCCGGGTATATGCTACGTTTTTCCAATTTGCATCGTTGACATTTTTAGTACATTAGAATTGTAGATGCCTGGGCGAGAGCCGCAGTTGGTCCCCAACAATTTCCACAAGTGTGCACCTCACAAATATTTTGTCCACAAATTGTTATTATTTTCGGATCTCCTGGCCTCAAATTTGTGCTCAATGTTTTCATTTATTCGTTTTAAACATTTTGCGTAAAGGTTTGTGTTACATATACACTATGAATACATGTAAGAAGGTATGCAAGAATATGTAAGGTGTTTGTAAATGGTTTCACTTGAATTATCCTTATTACGAAATATGAAATAACAATGTCTGCATTCACTGACTACAGGATATTGTCTTGTTCAGTATACGCAAGCAGATAGCATTTTGAATCTATTTTCGTTTGTGTGTGCCAGACTGCCAGAC